CCCCAAAACCCCAAAACCCCAAAACCCCAAAACCCCTCTTTGTTAAAATTCAACTCAAATGTAATTTTATATTAGTATAGTTTGAAATAAAAAATATATTCAATGTAGAAGAAATTTTAAGAGTCCTCAAACTATTATTGTAATTAATAGATAATTTCCATGAGTCTTATTCTCACCAGTTTGCATCTATAAAGAGAGCTTAACATTACAGAAGCCATTTTCGAATCTTAAGCCTAATGCTTACTCCTTGGAGCATCTAGAGAAGCAGCTTATGATGGCAAGGCAGTTACTAATTCTTGGCTTTATTTTATCTCTCCTGACACCCTAAAGTATATAAGAATTGTACTATTCACTGTTTTATTCTCATTCGGAGGATATGGATTATATGCAGCTGGATTAGCAAGGATGCTTTTCTGGATGTCTAACTGGCAAACTTTTACAGCTATTGCAGCTGAATTACTCTTACTTTTGTCACATTTCAGTACATAGAATAATGTCTATGATAATATCGTTAAAGCTATCTTTGAAGTTGCATTCCCATATTCGATAATGGTAACCTTCTTATATTGGTTCGTTTGGTATGAACCTGGTTGGATTAATCTTGAAGATTGGAAAACACTGGTAGGACCCTTATTTCTGCATGTAGTCCCTGTTGGAGTGCTATTGATTGATTGGCTGATTAATGACATAGTATTTGATTACAAGCGAGGTGCCCTACGAATGCTCTGGGTATGCTTGAGCTATATTGGATTGAATTATTTTGCAGGAGATATAATAGGCAGATTTCCATATTCGATGATAAATTATTAATCATGGAGCACAGCTCCTTGGCTTATTGGAGTCACACTCTTATCCATGACGATATTTTATGGTGTAGCATTTTTAACTAACTTCATGAAAACAGGACAGGGTGTCTCACCTTCTAATTATCTCAAGCAGATTCCTTTTGAATTTGTTTCAAGTTTCCAAATATTAGCAGACTTTATTTGAATTACGGCCTTGTGCTAATAATTATTAGTTTATTATTAGTACAATGTTACTTTGGAAATTAAAGTCTATTTGAATGACAATATAATAAGTTTAATTATTATTTCTATAAGCTTTGATAATTTGAATAATCTTTCAATCAGGGGTTTTGGGGTTTTGGGGAGATCGGAAGAGCACACGTCT